AATAACCTACAATGGAAAAGAATCTGAAAAAAATATATACATGTATGTATATGTATAACTGAACCACTTCGCTGTACACCTGAAACTAAGATTGTAAATCCACTACACTTCAATAAAACGCAAAATTAAAAAGGAGACTAGAGTGGAAATTGGATATTGAGCAAGTTGTACATATTAAACGTGCACAGTTTTTTGCACATCAATCATACATCAATAAAGTGGGGGTTTTTAAAGGAATATTACTTCATGTTGGAGCTTCAGATAAAGGCCGTGAATGTTTTTTTAAAAAAAGAAACCAGAGATTGAGAAAGAAAGAGGAAGACTGGCGGGCACCGGGGGCTGGACAGCTTGCAGCTGACTTTGGGAAGCCCCGACCCCATCCTCTAGCCAGGCCAGGCATCCCCACAGGCACCAGGGTCCACAGTGGGCTGGGAGGGGCTTGTGAATCTGGAATATATAAATCTTTGGTGTCTTCCTCCAAGTATAGCTGGGAAGGTGAAGCTTGACCTGGTCTCAGGGTGACCAAGTCAACTCCAGTTGCCTGAGACTTTCTTTGGGTTTAGCTTTGAAACTTCAACATCCCAGAAGTCCTCTCAGTCCTGGGCAAACAGGGACAGCTGATCACACTACTGGTCGCCACCCGAGTCCATGTTGTCCCGGGTTCTGCAGATCCAATTGCTTGTTAGTATTATGATGTCATCAGACACCAGGACTGACTGATAAGATGGACCGCGTGGAGTTTATGAAACAGTGACGCTGAGCATTTTCCTTTCACATTTCTGATGACTACTTTTCAAGCTTTAACTTGTATTTAAATAAAAGTTAAGATTTTATCAAGAGTATATAGCCTAGCTATTTCAAGAGGGAGTCTGGGAGGTAAGAGTGAGGGAGCAGGAGACAAGGCCATTTAGGGTTCCTCACTCTAAATGCTGCTCTGCGGGGAGGCACCCTGAAAATCTGCTCCAATGCAGAAAATCTGTTCCTCATTCTTTAAGGAACACGTCGCTTGGGTTTCTAGTTCAGTTAAAGCCATATGATGCTCTGGAACATCCTCTCCTTAAGATGTGTACAGGATAAATAAGAGTCCACTGACCTGGAAGATTTTAGGTTGAATTTCCTCTAGTGGAAGACACTTACTATTTAATCACCCAGCTTGGGAAAGGAACTCACTCTGGATTCAAAAAAATATCAGTGCTGTTTTTATGGCTTTTTTTTAAATAGTAGCATAAATTCTTTCCCCTTTTCATGCAATATTGTCCTATTTTCAAGAAGTTAAAGACATGGGAACTAATTAGAATAACCCATGAGAATATAGACCGCTTCTCGAACTCGGGCTACTTCCAAAGATGAGTTTCAGTCGGGCACTATGAAATTAATTCTCAGTTCCGAAGGTCCATTTTATATTTGGTATTTGAAGTGTCCCAACATTTGTTTTGCATTCAAGAATATTCTAAATTAGAGCTAAGGTACTAGGTGGCATGCTTATTGCAGGAATCACTCTAGTGTGTCATGTTAAGGATGACGGCTTTGCAGGTACAATCAACACCATTTATTCCGTGCAAAGTCAAAGAACAAAGATTTGCTCTTGTTAAAGGAAACTCATTTTCCAATTACAATCTTTTCCAATGTATTTGACTATTTTCTGGGTGTACATCTTTCCCGCTCTCGACACGGGCACTGCCTGGGCCTAAATTACTTTCTCTGGATCTTTTGAAGGTAATTCTATGCAGAGAGTTTTCAAGTTTCAAGTCTGAGACAAGAATTAAAGACACCAGCTAACACTTGGACTAAAATTCCACACCAGCCACATGGGAGTCATGCAAGCCAGCATCATGCTGTGGTTCCTCTTTCAGAAGAACAAAAATCATGTTTATAAAAATCCTCTTTTGAAAGGAAATGTCCGAAACAGACATTTTCAAAGCTGGAAAGTCTCTCTCTGTAGCAATATTGATGCTTGTGTGACAGTTCATTAAAATACTGAAAATACGGTAGCTATTAGGAGTTGGAAGTCTCTCTGGTAACTAAGGATGTCTAAAAATTAGCCTGACACTAACCTCTAATGAGGGTTTTAAATTTTCTGCTTCTGAAATACATCAAACAGTGGGATCATGTAAATTGATGCTGGTCCCTTGGGGATCAAAAAGCTCGAGTACCAGTTCTTGATGTCACCTAAACATGTTACCATGGGAACACCCATGCCTGTGTTTATGCATGAATAAGTATCAATTTAACATCTGGTGCTTACATTTTTAATAAGCTGTGATTAGCTATGAACAATGAACTCCACAGGCATATCATAAAAATAAGGAAATTACAAACAGGCCTTATAGGTTTTTGAGCCAACAGAGCATAACAGTATCACTAACAAATACAGACATATTCAGTTCTGTAGCATCAGAGGCTCTTTGTTAACTAGAGTTGTAACCTACTATTTTCCATGAGCATATCCTACACAAAGACGAAAGGGAGAGGGTTAGGGAGAGGAGAGGGAGCCTTAGGATAAGGGGCATCAAAATCCTCTTTCAAAAAAAATGAAACCAGAACTGCTGCCAGTGTTACTACCTATGTAGTTGAATAATCCAGGTCAGTAAGTGACAATGGCTATTTAATCCATGCATCAGCTGACTATTGATAAATAATGCTGTGTAACCACCATTGTAATCACATAAAATAATAAATATTCATTTAGCTCACACACTTGTGGGCCAGCTGGGAAACTGCTGATCTCGGTTTAGGGAGGTTTGCTAGAGCAGCTTTCTTCCAAATGTCTCTCAGCCTCCTCTGTGGTCAGTAGGAGAGCCTGGAAATATTCTTCTCACAGTGATGGCTGAAGCCCCGAGACAAGTCCAATCACACAAGCAGACTTCATGACTCTACT